AAAAAAAAAAAAAAAAAAAAACAGTTTAAAATTTCAACCACTTTATTAGGTTCTTTAATGAGTAGGGGTTAGAGGCTACAGGCTGTGTATAGCTCTTTGGTTGTGGTGAAGAAACGTATGGCTTTGTGTAAGTGCCGGGTTTACCTCTTATTGTGCTCTTATACTTAATTAAGAAAAGAGCAGCTTTGTGTGTGAAAAAATTTTAGACTTACAGAGAAGTTATAAAAATAGCACAGAGAATTCCCAAATACCCTGTCCTCTGATTCCCCAAATATCAACTACATTTGCTTTATCATTCTCTCTCCCTTCCTCTCCCTTTTTTTCTCTTTGTGTGTGTTTGTATATATTTTTTTCTGAAACACGATGCCCCTTTACCTTTAAATATTTGAGCCCTTTTTGTATAAGGACATTTTCTTACGAAAACCACAGTACAATGGTCAAAGCCAGGAAATTAACACAGACACAATACTATTATTGAATCTATAGGCTATATTCAAATTTTAGAAGTTGATCCACTAATTTCTTTTTAATTAAAAAAATGTGTAATGCTTCATTTTTGCTTGATTGTAGGCGCCATCACTGTGAAGACATTGCCCTGAGCCATTTCCTTCAGTCCTTAAGGAAGCTGCCTCTCAGAACCTTTTCCACAAGTAAGTAGCAATTAGAGGCAATGCTGGCCTCTCTGCTTCAGTCTGTCAGTAAATTGGGATAAACACAGCACGTATTTCATAGGGTTGTTGTTAGAATCAGATGGAATTGTGCCTGCAAAGTGCTTAGAGTACCTGGCATGTAGGTACCACTGAAGCATTAGCTGCTGTTATCTGATTGTTTTTACTGGCTGTGTAGTATTCCCTTGTGTGACTGTACTGTTTGGTGTTGGACATTTAAGTTGCTCCTAGTCTTTTCCTATTACAGACAGTTCTGTACTAACATATTTTTGTGCATCCTCAGGATAAATTTGTAGACTTAGAATTACTGGATCAAAAGGTTTATGTATTTTATAATTTGGTATTTAAGCTAAATTACTCTTCAGAGAAGGTTGTCCCAGTTTACACTCCTCTGAGCAGGATGTGCTCATGAGTACATCAGTTCACCACACCCTCATCAATACTGGATTATGAACTTTTTGGATCTTTGGATCTTTTTGGATCTTGTAAGCAGCTATTTGAACCTGTACAAAAATGTATATTGTCTTTATTAACTAAATATCCTTTTTATTCCATCATACTGGAGGCTATTTTTGACTGTCCAGTAATCATACCTTGGGAATAAAATGAGATGGTTAATGAGAATAAAACAAATAAAAATAAAACAAATAAAATAAAAACAAAAGGCTTATTAAGGTAGTTAATAGGGGCACATCTGGGTGTTACTTATTTAATTAGGACTTGCAGGCTGGAACACATAGGAATCACTTAAAGGGTTCAGGGGGAGCCTCAGAAATCAAGCCAGAATCTTGGATCTGCAGAAAAGCTGTGCTTTTTTAAAGTGACAAATGCAGCAGAGAGGCGTTCAGGAGTGGAGGGCACTCTCTGCTTACTACTTCCTGTTGGAGGAGTCAAGTAAGCCTTTGGAAGGTAAGAGACCTATAGTTGCAGAAAGGTCCAGTGTAGCAGAAGCATGCAGGAGATCCTAGGGTGCTGGTTCAGTGCAGGTAGGGAGTGTACAACAGTTCTCTCATCACCACATATTTCAGAAAGAGGGAAAAAAAATGTTTCTTGCTTTTTGACAAGATTTTCTGGTCAGAGGTAGAATATTTAGTTGTTAAGTAGTAAGCGTTCATTAGGAGTAATCAGAAAATGGAGGAGATTAATGACATCTATACTTGTTCATTAAAAAAAAGAAACAGGGCCTCCCTGGTGGCACAGTGGTTGAGAGTCCACCTGCCGATGCAGGGGACACGGGTTCATGCCCCGGTCCGGGAAGATCCCACATGCCGCGGAGCGGCTGGGCCCATGAGCCATGGCCGCTGAGCCTGCGCGTCTGGAGCCTGTGCTCCGCAGCGGGAGAGGCCACAACAGTGAGAGGCCCGTGTACCGCAAAAAAAATAAAGAAAGAAAAAAGAAAAAAAAGAAACAGCAGGAAATTCCCTGACGGTCCAGTGGTCAGGACTCCACGCTCTCACTGCTGAGGACCCAGGTTCAATCCCTGGTTGGGGAACTAAAATCCCACAAGTCTCTCGGCACGGCAAAAAAAAGAAAGAAAGAAAGAAAAAGAAACAGCAACAACCAAAAGGTGGTGGAGGGACAGGGACAAATGGGCAGGATGATTTCCTTCCATTGGAAGCCAAGGACAGGATGAAGGTTTTGTGCAGGCTACTGAGAAGTCAGCTCTTGAGATTTTGTTTTAACAATAACTTTATTGAGATACAATTTTCATACCATAAAGTTCACCCTTTTAAGTACGCAATTCAGTGTTTTTTTTGTATACTTACAGAGTTGTACAACCATCAGCACTACCTAATTTTAGAATATTTTCATTCCCTCCTGGCCCCCCCACAATAGTAGCACTTGATCCATTAAACTGTCACTCCCCATTTCTCCCTACCCCTAGTTCCTGGCACCCACTAACCTACTTTATGTCTCTCTAGTATGTTTCCTATACCAGATACTTCATATAAATGGAATCATACAATATGCAGCCTTTTGTGGCTGACTTCTTTTACATAATGTATTCAAGGTTCATGTGTAGCATGTGTCAATACTTCATTCCTTTTTTCCTGTTTTATTATCAATATTCCATTGTATTGGTATACCACTTTTTTATTCATTTGTCAGTTGATGGACATTTGGGTTATTTTCACTTTTTGGCTATTATGAATAATGCTGCTGTGGAGCATGCGTGACAAATTTTTGTGTAGATGTATGTTTCACTTTGCTAAGAGCTGAATTGCTGGGTCATGTGGTAATTTTATATTTAACATTTTGAAGAACTGAAGCCCCATTTTACAATCCCATCAGCAGTGTTTGCGTGTTCCAGTTTCTCCACATCCTTACCAACAATTATCTGTCTTTTTGATTAAAACCATCCTAGTGGGTATGAAGTTGTATCTCATCGTGGTTTTGATTTGCATTTCCCTGATTACTAATGATGTATTGGTTTGCTAGGGCTACTGGAACAGAGTACCACAAACTGAGTGGCTTAAACGGTAGAAATTTATTCTCTCATAGTTCTGGAGACTAGAGGTCCAAGATCAAGGTGTCATAGGGCTGCTTCCTTCTGAGGGGTGTGAGGGAGAGCCTCTTGTCTAGCTTCTGATGGATTGCTGGCAATATTTGGCTTTTTTGGCTTGTATTATAGAAGCATCACCCTGATCTCTGCCTTCGTCTTCAGTTAGCATTCTCCCTGTGTGCGTGTCTGTCTCCAAATATTCTCTTTTTATTTTTTAATTTATTTTTTTAAAAATTTATTTATTTATTTGTTTTCTGGCTGCGTCGGGTCTTAGTTGCAGCATGCAGGATCCTTCATTGCGGTGCATGGGCTCTTTGCTTTATTGCTGTGTGTGCACAGGCTCCTCTCTAGTTGTGGCGCGCGGGCTCAGTAGTTGTGGTGCGTGGGCTTAGTTGCCTTGTGGCATGTGGGATCTTAGTTCCCCAACCAGGGATCGAACTGGTGTCCCCTGCATTGTAAGACAGATTCTTATCCACTGGACTACCAGGGAAGTCCCAAAATTTTCTCTTTTTATAAGCACACTAGTCATATTGGATTAGGGCCCACTGTGCTGACCTTATTTTAACTTGATTACCTCTGTAGAGACCTTTTATCCAAGTAAGGTCACATTCTGAGGTGCTAAGGGTTAGGACTTAAGCATATGAATTTTAGGGGGACATAATTCAACCATAACATGTTGAGCATCTTTACATGTGCTTACTGGCCACTCATATATCTTCTTTGGAGAAATATCTATTCAAATTCTTAGTACGTTTTAAAATTGGACTATTTATCTTTTATCGTGGAATTGTAAGAGCTTATGAGATTTTGCATTTGGGAGAATACTACTGTCCAGTCAGACCTGGGCCTGGATCGTAAAAGTAAAATCAGAGAGCCTGCGTGAGAAATGGTACCTGTCCCAGTCCTGGCCCTGTTGGTAGCCAGCGGGGCAACCTGGATTCGTTTCTTGACCTCTTTGCAATTCAGTGTTTTCCTCTTAAATTCTGTAATTATGGTGGCATTTGGGGTGCACTGTAGTGTCACAGGAAAGAAGCTTGTACCTTACTAGATAGTATTTGGAGGCAGCAGGGTCTTTGCAGTGACTCAGGGCTGCATCTCCCTGTCACATCCCTTCCAGGTCCAGTCAGCTTTGCTGAGGGCTTTTCCCAGCTCTCCTGTTGGTGCTGTGTTTGCGTGACTCATACCCGTCCCTTTTCCCAGGCTCAAAATTTTCCTGCTTTTTGTTACAGATGCCAGAAGAGTCCACACTGCCCCTGCCCGAACCTTGTCCCTGCTGCGCCCCCTGCTCTTTTTGGTCGCGACGGGTGGCGGGTACGCAGGTTTCCGGCAGTATGAGAAGTACCAGGAGCGAGAATGGGAGAAGCTGGGCTTGGAGATCCCACCCAAACTTGCTGGTCACTGGGAGGTAGGAGCAGGATGGAACTACCTTGGGTTCTCATGGAGCACAACTGCCTGTCACTTTGTAAATTGCTCCAAAGTTAAACTGTTTGAAAAAGTGAAATGTGCTTTCTTGGACCTCACATCTCCAGTGGTTTTGGGGCTGTTACAGAAGTTACACCTTGGGCATCATGTCCGGCTTCCCTGTCTCCAGATCCACCCCTGGTCTCCCCAAGGCCTCCGAGTGGAAATTTCCTGCTGTTGAAATCTTCAGAGCTCGTGCCTTATACTCAGGCTGGCGTCCTGACAGTTCACGCCTTCTCAAGTCTGAGGATGAGCTGGAAGGGTTGGGCTTTTGTGATGTGAATAAGTTCTCACCAGAGACCAGACTGAAATCATCAAATTCCTTTATCGTTACTGCTCAAAATGCTCTCCCCGCAATTGGGCCGTGCAGTTGGGGCGGGCTTCGGTGTCGTTCGTTGTACCTTGTGTGATACGTAATGAACTGTCTTACTCATCTGTGCTTCCTGAGGCCCAGGATATCTGACTCAGAGCAGACATTCAGTAAATACTGAAATTGATTATAAAGGTGTAAGTTTAAAAATTGCTTTCTTTTTACCCATAATTTAACAAGTGAAATATCTGAAATATCAGTAGACCCTGATAGCTTGGGCAACAGAGGGGGTGAAAGCAGAGACGATGGTATTTGGGATGATGCATTTGGATTTCCCCATGAGCTGTACCATATCAGTAATCCAGCTCAGCTGCACCCAGCAGCCAGGGTCCCAGTCCTGAAGGCAGGTTCTGACCATGCTCCTAGTAGCTGTGTGGACTTGGACATGTCACTTTCCAAGTTTTCTGTTTTTCGGTTGTATATCACAGAGTCCTTTTTTACAGAATTGTATAGTATGTGAGTCATACTTTTTAAGTACGCTGAACACTGTTTCCCATAACATTGGTGGTTTCCTCTGTAAACATATCCTTCTCCTTCAAACTAGTAAAGTACTTGTTAAGACTGTGATCCATGACCCCACTCCAGTGTTAAACCCAAGCTGGCTTCCCTCTGACCCCAGGCATCTGTCAGGCTGACCCACCTGGTGACATGCCCACCTGCTTTCTGGAAATTCCCACTCATTTCAAAGGTATCCCAAGAGAATCTACATTTGGAAGAAATTTGCTACTTCCTCATTCATAAAAGACTAATGTCCGTAGTTTTTCATAGCATCCACTATTTGTATAATTGGGATTACTGCCATGTATGAGTCAATACCTGAAAAACGATTATTTGTAAAGAGGACAGGGTTGATTAGCTTCTAAGTTCTAGGCTCTGGACAGTGACAGGACACAGGAGCAGAGTGGCCTAGTACAGTGAGAGGTCTGAAGCCCCTGTTGGTAAAGAACTGGGCTTAAGTTAGGTCCTGTTCTTTCGGTGGAATAAGATGGCTCCTAGGTTTGCAAGTTGGGCAACATTTCATTTATGAAGGGGAAATGGTCTGGGCTCAGAATGGACACTGTAAGATTTCAGGAGAGGCAGCAGGTTGTGGGGGGAGGGCAGGAGGCAGTTCTTGAACGGGCAGATGGGGGCTGGATCTTAGTCCTACCCCCGGCTCTACCTAATCAGTGACACCTCGTATGAAAAATGAGAGAGTACCCAAGTCTGGCTGATCCTCAGAATTGTTTGGGGAGCTTTAATGATATGGATTCTTTGGTCTCAGCTCGCTCTAGAGATTTAGAAATTTTGGGCAAGGCTCAAGATCTTTGTTTTTACAAGGCCCTGCGGGTGATTCTCATGACAAGTCAGATTTAGGAATCATGGGCAGATGAGCTGTAAGGGTCCCTTCAGGGCTCCATTAGTATGTGGCAGGTGAAAATTTCTCGTGGTGATTTTGCTGGAAAATAATCCCTTCCTATCTCTGAAGTCAAGTCTGGCATCTCCAGAGCTAAGAAGGAAGACAGGTTGGAAGTTACTGCTGAGATGGCCTCTGGGGTCAGTGGCACAGTTGAGGTGACTGGGTGATTTTTTCTTACCAAATAGTGTTTTCTGGGTTTCCAGGAGACAGACATGGGTCGTATAGCCATCCCCACACATGAAGCCTTCCTATTAGCCCCTCTTGGTCAGTGCCAGCAGGAAGCCTTTGTCCTTTCCTAGCTTGTGAATTTCTCTTGTTGCAGAGAACCCTCTGGTCTTCCCTCTGTATCAAAACTCTCAAGAGCATTGTTGTAGTACCTTATGTTGAACAGCACCTCGCAGTTTTTCTGAACCCTTTTAGTTACAACAGCTCACTGAGGTAGGAAGGGCAGGTGTTAGAGCCATTTTACAAATGGAAAGACTAGTTGGTGGCAGAATAGGTTCCAGAACAGAGGTCTGTCGATGCCAAATGCTGTACTCTTCGAACAATAAATATCATGTTGCTCATAGAAGGTGCTCTTAGTATAGGAGCTTGACGGTGGCAGTGAGAGATGGAGGGAGGGCTTGCTGTGTATTTGAGGTACCTCCATTCTCTGGGGCTGACTGTTTAAAATGGGAGGTGAATTTGAGTGGCCTGACTTGAACAGTTGTTGTCTGCAATAATGTGATGAGCATTCACATTATCCACCACGCCTCCCCTCAGCCCCCAGTACAGCTCTCCTGAAGAATTCATGCTCACATCTTTCCTTCATGTAAATAGAATTTCCTCTTTTTCGTAACAGTTTAGAGGAAACCATAACTCCAAAATCTATGCCACCTCACTCCCTGCAGGCTGTCCTCTGGGCTGGGGTGGGTGCAGCGCTCACATAGGAGCAGTAAGGAGGGAGGGACAGGGTGTCAGGAGACTTGAGATCTGGGCACCAGCAGCTGCGAGGCCTTGGGTGAGTTGTGTCACCTTGGGGCTTCTGTTTTTACACATTTAAGAAAATGTTTCTAAGATTTTTGCCTGATCTAATAAGATTCATGTTGTTTTTATGGTAGAAAAGAAGAAAAAAAAAGTTCATGCAGGGACTTCCCTGGTGGCAAAGTGGTTAAGAATCCGCCTGCCAATGCAGGGGACACGGGTTTGAGCCCTGGTCCGGGAAAATCCCACATGCCGCGGAGCAACTAAGCCCGTGCGCCACAGGCAGATGAGCTGTAAGGGTCCCTTCAGGGCTCCATTAGTATGTGGCAGGTGAAAATTTCTCGTGGTGATTTTGCTGGAAAATAATCCCTTCCTATCTCTGAAGTCAAGTCTGGCATCTCCAGAGCTAAGAAGGAAGACAGGTTGGAAGTTACTGCTGAGATGGCCTCTGGGGTCAGTGGCACAGTTGAGGTGACTGGGTGATTTTTTCTTACCAAATAGTGTTTTCTGGGTTTCCAGGAGACAGACATGGGTCGTATAGCCATCCCCACACATGAAGCCTTCCTATTAGCCCCTCTTGGTCAGTGCCAGCAGGAAGCCTTTGTCCTTTCCTAGCTTGTGAATTTCTCTTGTTGCAGAGAACCCTCTGGTCTTCCCTCTGTATCAAAACTCTCAAGAGCATTGTTGTAGTACCTTATGTTGAACAGCACCTCGCAGTTTTTCTGAACCCTTTTAGTTACAACAGCTCACTGAGGTAGGAAGGGCAGGTGTTAGAGCCATTTTACAAATGGAAAGACTAGTTGGTGGCAGAATAGGTTCCAGAACAGAGGTCTGTCGATGCCAAATGCTGTACTCTTCGAACAATAAATATCATGTTGCTCATAGAAGGTGCTCTTAGTATAGGAGCTTGACGGTGGCAGTGAGAGATGGAGGGAGGGCTTGCTGTGTATTTGAGGTACCTCCATTCTCTGGGGCTGACTGTTTAAAATGGGAGGTGAATTTGAGTGGCCTGACTTGAACAGTTGTTGTCTGCAATAATGTGATGAGCATTCACATTATCCACCACGCCTCCCCTCAGCCCCCAGTACAGCTCTCCTGAAGAATTCATGCTCACATCTTTCCTTCATGTAAATAGAATTTCCTCTTTTTCGTAACAGTTTAGAGGAAACCATAACTCCAAAATCTATGCCACCTCACTCCCTGCAGGCTGTCCTCTGGGCTGGGGTGGGTGCAGCGCTCACATAGGAGCAGTAAGGAGGGAGGGACAGGGTGTCAGGAGACTTGAGATCTGGGCACCAGCAGCTGCGAGGCCTTGGGTGAGTTGTGTCACCTTGGGGCTTCTGTTTTTACACATTTAAGAAAATGTTTCTAAGATTTTTGCCTGATCTAATAAGATTCATGTTGTTTTTATGGTAGAAAAGAAGAAAAAAAAAGTTCATGCAGGGACTTCCCTGGTGGCAAAGTGGTTAAGAATCCGCCTGCCAATGCAGGGGACACGGGTTTGAGCCCTGGTCCGGGAAAATCCCACATGCCGCGGAGCAACTAAGCCCGTGCGCCACAGCTACTGAAGCCTGTGCACCTAGAGCCCGTGCTCCACAACAAGAGAAGCCACTGCAATGAGAAGCCCGTGCTCCGCAACAAGAGAAGCCACCGCAGTGAGAAGCCCGTGCACTGCAACGAAGAGTAGCCCCTGCTCGCCACAACTAGAGAAAGCCTGCGTGCAGCAAAGAAGACCCAATGCAGCAATCAATCAATAAATTTATAAAATTTAAAAAAAAAGTTCATGCAATCTGCTGAGTAGAAATGAAACCTATGTGTTTGCTGCTGTGGGATTAAAGGGAATTTTGTAACTAGCAACAAAGTAACCTGTTAAGGAGAGTGGAGTCTCTGGAAGCTTTCAGAAGCATCCAGGTTCCAGTAGCTCCACTCTTTCTCTATCTCTATATATGGCATCACTTTCCCCAATGTGGAAATATCTTTGTCCTTTATCTACTTATAAAGATGTGTTCATCTACAAAAAATAAGTGTTGCAAAATATGAAGACGAAAAGAGTTGATGACCTGTAATTCTACAGCCCACAGGAAACCAGTTAACATTTTGGTGAACATCACCCTTCTATGCTTTTGGCTCTGTTTAGGAGTATGTATTGTTAAATTAATTTTTATTTTTAATAAGATAGTTTAAAATTTTTAAATAAAATATGATCATGTGAAAA